TCATTCACCTTGACTCCGGTTTCACCACGTCCGGGAAGCTGCCGCTCCTCATCAAGGACAGAAATTTTAACAGTGGCCCTCTCTGAGTGGTGGTATCGACCGTCTTGTCGACAAAGGACCGGCATATGTCTGACTCGAGTGGCCCTGGATCTCGGATGCTCTGATCAGGGGCGCTTAGGCAGACAGCTTGTGCCAAGGTAGGCTGGAGTGGACTGACAACAAACCGTCTACAGCCTTTTCCCCGGCGCTCACGTCGATCAATCCACAAGATGACGCCTTTGTGCGTCCTCGAGATATGAAGGACCCCAAAGTTGGGTTTGGCGCTATGCTGGTGATGGGGCTTTTGCAAGCGACCATCGGACTTTCGTGTTGGTTGTCGTGTCCTCGCACTCCATGGGACCAGAGGGGCACGTGGAAGATGGAGGGTATTTTCAGCGGCGATAGGGGGAAACCTTGATCTACATTTGTCGGTGAGAATGCAGCCAAGAGTATGATATCTCGATCCCGATGAGAAAGAAGCCTCTGTTGTGCCTTCATGGACTGCATCGTATCTGAGTTGATACCCGGCGGAAGTCGAGTCCATGTTCTAGAAGTGGTGACCCCACGGCCATCTTGGCCGTGGCAGCGTTCGAGTGAATCGTTGTCTCATCAAGTTGTCTCCTGTCGGCCAAACACTGCCCAAGGGTCTTCAGGGTCTTTCCCGTGACATTCGGAAGACCTTGCCCTAGAACAGGTTGTTGTACGTGCGTCCAGCTACGAGAGAGCTGACAAGCTTGGCAACGGTCGGGTATCCGTCTTGAGGATTAGCTCTTGTCCGTACGGGGCGACCTCTTCAGCTGAGTGGCCCGGTTCCATCAGGTTCTTCGTCTCTTCTTCGTCTTCTCCTCAGGGGTGCTCCTTATGGCGTGGCGCCATCCGTTGGCTTCCCGGAGCTTCGGCTGTCTCACCTATCCAGGCACGGGTATTGGTGGACATTCTCGCCTGGATGCTGGCTTGCGAAGTCGGGTCACGTCCCCATGCACGAGGTGACACGATATTGGCCGTCGCTAGAAGTGTACCATAGTGCGTCGGTTGTTGTACTCTGATGGTCTCGCGACTTGAGTTTGGCATGGCTTCGCTTCGAAGCTCTGGCTCTACGTGGGCAGAGCACGCAGCTCGTGGCCTCATCAAGGTATGCGTCACTTTGTCTGCCCACTTTTGCGTGTAAGGCAGTGCCTTCCCCCCTTAGGGCTACCCAAGATTGTAGAGGAGGAGCGTCCCGGAGGGCCGCCCATCTCATCGGTTTGGGGCTTTACTTTACGTACTTGCGGTTCAGACCACCTCAGTGCATGCCATTCCCTGTCGTTTATTGGGGAAAGGCCTGTATGCCTTCGCCGTGGCTCTCACTTGCTTGCCTCACCGCGTATCCCTTGACTAGGTACTTAGGGACTGTGCTTGGGCTCTGGTGCCCCAGTACCTGCCGCAGTGTGGTTGGTCAAGCTGTACATGACGACCCTGCCCTTATACACTTTGCCTTTCTTGTACAGTTTTCTCTCAGGGGGCTTCGTGCCATCTAAGAGTATCTGCGCTACAGGGCATCAAAGAACGGAGGAAGGGAAACGGTTGCCCCAGCACCAATCGGGACAGTCCGGCTTCATTGTAGGCAGGTTCAGAACTGACTCCATTAGCTGACAAGTCTTGTTTGACCGAGTCCCGATTAATTAAATCAAAGAAAGCTTTTATGAATCTTCTCTATCCATATAGTCATAGTCTCCAATACTTTGACGGATTGCACTGGCACACAAACGCGTCACTTGAACAGTCGACGAGCAACAGCTCCAGCAATTTTCCATGGCATACCACTGTTCCCCTCTGCTACATTCATTCCTTACGCCCATGTTTTGCCCATTCCCTGAGAACGTTCTTCTTCAGCTTTCCTGTACTGGTTTTCGGCAACTCGGCCACGACCTCGACCTCGCGTGGGACCATGAACTTGCTAATATTGCTTTGGTGCTTTGCCCACGATATGAGGTCTTCCGGCTGGAGGCTCTTGCCTTCCTTGACGGTCACGTAGGCCTTTGGACGTTCACCCCTGGGTTTGTCAGTGCCATTCAGCGATGCCAGTGTCAATTACACCACTCACCAATGACTGTCAGGAATCGCGACGACGGCAGCCTCCAGAAGATCGGGATGCTGAACGAGCATGCCCTCGAGGGCTACAGATGAGATGTTTTCACCGCCTAGATACGACTCAGTATGATGATAACTTGGAGACAGTTCTCAATGGAACATGCTCACCTGAGATGATGATGTCCTTGGCACGATCTAGGATCTGCGCGGCTCCATCCTCGTGCATCACTGCGAGATCTCCCGAGTGCAGAAAACCTCCGGCGAAGAGCTTCTTGGTTGCCTCAGGGTCCTTGTAGTACTCCTTGCAACAAATGTTACCTTTGAAGATGATCTCGCCGATTTCCTTTCCGTCCTTCGCCACGTCGATCAGAACACCCTCCGGTTGGTCTTGCTTGATTACACGAATCGGCAGACTCGTCAAAAAGCCATGACCTTGGCGGGCCATCTTGGCATACTTTTCGTTAGGGGGAAGGCTATCCCACGATGGCATGTGGTAGCCTTTGGTGATAGGTCCGTACGTCTCTGTCATTCCGTAGACGTGGACTGGTATGAGGTTCAGGTTGGTCTGTCTCCGTCAACATGGTCCACAACGCTTTGTCTTTACGGGACGAACCATCTGCTCAAACAAGTAGCCGCTCGGCGGACTCGCGGCAACAGTCACACGACAAGGTTTGGGTAGTTCCTCTGCCTCCCTAGCAGAGCACAAAAGAGTGTTGACCGTACTGGAAGGCCGTTAGGACGCACAGAATCTTGTGGGATCATGGGGTCGCATACGGTGCAGCATTGAAGTGACTGATTTCTTCCTCTTTAAGGAGCTTCCAGATGAGAGGATAGTCGATCTTTCTCAAGGTATAGTGTGTTCCTCGGACCATTGTCACCGCCCAGGGAAAGGTCTTTCGAGGTCGGTTAGTATGCCAAACCAAAAAGGTACAGGTAAATTTACGAACCCATCCGCAGGCGTGGAAGAGTGGCAGTGTCCATAAATACTTGCAACGCCTCCCATCGGGTGAGTTCAACCCCGATTCGATGACATTTCCCAAGGCTGCGAGGTCTGCGTACAGTTAACAGCCATTCGGAGTTGGGTCAGAACGTGTGATGAAAGTTTCGTGACTTACAAACCCCTCGATGAGTGTAGACCACACCCTATGTTTTAAGATAATTGTTAGTTCTGATGCATCAGTCATGCACATTCGTGATATCCCACCTTTGGACGAGAAGTTGTTCCTGAAGTGAATGGAATGGCGAGCATGTCGTCATCGTTGCCGCAGTGAGATTGAAGGCCGTCGAACCTCTTATTGCCCTGTTTCTGGTCAAATTTCAGGCCCTCCAAGATGGCCTCGTCAAAGGGGCCACTCAACTCCCCCTCGATGGCATCGGTGTCGGTGTCGATAATGAATGGGACGGATGGGTGACTTTGTTTGAACTCGTCAAGAAGGTGGAGGAATTCTTGATCCACGATGATAGAGTCAACCTCGGCATAATCGAAGATGTAAGTGATGTCGTCTGACTTCAACCTGTAGTTCACAGCGACGTTGACCCCTATTTCTCGCAAGTAAGTCTCGTATACTCTGCTGCATTTCGGTTCACGGAACGAACTAACCACCAGCCAGGGCAATGCCGAAGATGCTCTCAAGAAAAGCCGGTGTGTTCGGCGCCAGGATACCAACGCGCTGAAAGCCATGCTTCTTCAGATAATATGCAAGCCCGGTTGCTCGCTCAGCAAAGTCGCGGTAGGTGCGGCGCAAAAGCTGATTGTTGGCAGTGATATGGACAATCGCCTCCGCGTCGGGTTCAATGGCGGCAGCACGCTCCAGAAAATAGGTTGGGGAAAGTTGATGGATGTGAAAGGCTGCCCTAGGCTCTTCGGGCTTTGAAGCAGGTGAGGAGAGACCAAGGTGACCCAAAATGTTCTTGAGACGGGACGGCGGGCTAGACATCATGACGTCGACGAGATGAGTGCAATCGACTGTGGAAATGTTCTCAAATGTAGAGTTATGAGCGGGATTCAATGGCGATACAAAACAGAAGCACACGCTGATCCAAAATTTGGAGTCCCAAGTGTTCGTCTGGAAGGCGTCGGCTCTAAGGTCTAATTAAGCAAGTGAGGAGAAGTTGGAAAGGAGAAGAGGAGGAGGAGCTCAAGCAGCTCCAGTTCCCCGACGAGGGCGAGAGGACCAGCTGGCCTACATTAGTCTGTCTCGCGTCCATCCTACTTTAGAGCATTACCCCCAAGCTCCTGGCTGTCTGAGACGACAAACCCGAGGTTCTGAAAGCTCAGGGCCGGTTAGTGCTATCCCTCGCTTCCCATTACCCCACACTTGGCAAATGCTCGGTGCGTGCTGCCGTCCCGCCAGCGTCTCCAGCTTTGCTAGCCAACCAGCTTAGGTTGGACAAAGTTGGGGTAACTGCGTCACCGCGCTATTCCCGACTGAGGACCACTCCAGCGGCTGACTAACGCCGGGCTGCCTTAAGTATTCGTACCTGAGGTACCTAACGAATACCCTTGGGTAGGTGCTTGCACTGTATTAAGTAAGTCGGCAACCAGGGGGTGGCAGGAGCGGTCGGGGCCCACTCACTTTAGAGAGGTCGCGTCGCCGTGCCACCAGAGCCTCGCGCGACAGGAGAAGTGCACCACGCGAAGGCCCAATCGCCCCGAAATTTTATCACCGACAAGACAACCCTCCTACGGATTAAAACCCCGTCATCACCACCACTCCTTCCATCGTCCATCCCAGGCACTCTGCAGATCGCGCCGGACGTCGTCTATCTACTCAGAATCGTGGCTTTAAGCTCCAGCCTAGATTTCAGCCATCTCACTTTGACGACAATCAGCGACCTCTAGCTCGAGAGGTTTCCCAACCATGGCAGCCATGTGAGTGTTCAAGGCCAGCTACTCGCCCCGTCTCAACCATCAATGCTGCGGCTACCCGGGTACTCCCAAGCGAGCGCATTCTTTCCGCGCAAATTTGCGCAAACATAATTCCAATTCCACCGCGCGCATCCCATCTTGCTTCAATCTGCTTTCTTCAGTCGCAGTAGCTAACAGCATGGCTCCCTCTAGCGAGAGTTTCGACAGCATCTACCTGGACCTCTCCAAGGAGAGCGGCAAGTGCAGATTCGCCGAGAGCGGTCTCGGATGGAAGCCTGCTGGTGGCGGCGACACCTTCACCCTCGACCACAGCAACATCGCCTCAGCGCATTGGAGCCGAGCTGCCAAGGGCTACGAGATCAAGATCCTCAACCGCGATTCGCGCATCATTCAACTGGATGGCTTCCAACAAGAGGTAAAACACCCGTCAGGCAGACCCCACGAGCGGCACCATATTGACTCCTGTTGCCCAGGACTACGAGCGCTTGAGCAAGATCTTCAAGAGCTGGTACAGTACCAATCTCGAGAATAAGGAGCACTCCCTCAGAGGATGGAACTGGGGCAAGGCCGATTTCGGAAAGGCCGAGCTTGCATTCCACGTCCAGAACCGTCCTGCCTTCGAAATCCCTTATTCAGAGATCTCAAATACCAACTTGGCTGGTCGCAACGAAGTCGCTGTCGAATTCTCTGCCCCAACGGACAAGAATGACACCGGCACTAACGGTGCCCTGGGCGGTGCGCGCGGCAAGGGCAAGAAGGCTGGTGCCGGCAAGGACCAGCTCGTGGAGATGAGATTCTATATCCCTGGAACTGTCAAGAAAGAGGCCGACGGCGAAGACGGCGCTAGCGATGCCGGCGAGGAAGAGAAGAACGCTGTCGCTCTATTCTATGACACCCTTATGGAGAAGGCCGAGATTGGCGAGACTGCTGGTGATACTATCGCCACCTTCTTGGACATTCTGCACCTTACCCCCAGGTACGCTTACCTCCGTTATCTACCAAGCCGATCCGTCGCTGACATGAACCTGCAGAGGACGTTTCGACATCGATATGTACGATGCTTCTTTCCGCCTACGTGGTAAAACCTACGATTACAAGATCCAATACGATGCCATCAAGAAGTTCATGGTTCTTCCCAAGCCCGACGAGACACACGTTCTTCTGGTCATTGGACTGGATCCGCCTCTTCGCCAGGGTCAGACGAGATACCCCTTCATCGTCATGCAATTCAAGAAGGATGAGGAGGTCACTATTGATCTCAACCTCACCGAGGAGCAAATAGACGAACGGTACAAGGACCGTTTGCAGCCTCACTACGAGCAGCCTCTTCACCAAGTCATCACCTACATCTTCAGAGGATTGGCCAACAAGAAGGTCACCACACCTGCGAAGGACTTCCAGACGTACGTCGCAGACAGCCCCCACTCGCTTGAAATGCCGAGAGCTGACATACATGCAGGCACCGACAACAATTCGGTATCAAGTGCTCCATCAAGGCCAGCGAAGGTTTCCTGTACTGCTTGGAGAAGGCGTTTATGTTCGTGCCGAAGCCTGCGACGTACATTGCGTACGAGCAGACTGCTTCCGTCACATTCTCTCGAGTCGGCGGCGCCGTTTCGGCGCTCTCCACGTTCGATATCACCGTTCAGATGAAGAATGGTGCCGGCTCATCCCAGTTCAGCAACATCAACCGCGAGGATCTTAAGGGGCTCGAGGAATTTTTCAGACTGAAGGGCCTGCGTGTCAAGAACGAGATTGACGAGGACGCCAAGCTTCTGGCCACTGCTCTCCGCGATCAGGCAATGGACGACTCTGAAGAGGAGGTCGTCGGACCGAAAGCGGACCGCGGCTCGGCTGACGAAGACGAAGAGAGCGTCGACGAGGACTTCCGCGCTGAGAGTGAGAGCGACGTTGCCGAGGAGTTCGATAGTGAACACGAGAGCTCGGGCTCTGGAAGCGCTGAGAGCGACGTTGACGACGATGACGCTGACGACGCCGAGGAGGAGGAGGAGGAACAAGAAGAGAGGCCCAAAAAGAAGAAGAAGACTGGTTGAGCGCGTCTGCTGCAAGTCGAAGGCTTTCGGGACTTTGGGGCTGTTGCTAGGCGTTCTTGGGAATGAAAGGGAATGTAACACTACAATTACCTATTAGGCTGACCGGCCCTTAAGGGACCTGAAGAGGTTTAATATTTGGAAAAGACCTCTTGATAGCATAATGCGGAGAGAGGTAGGTGCTACGAAAAATCTATACCACTGTGATTTATTCTACCTTCACTCTGGTGGTGGCAAAATCTTCAACCAGGTCGTGCAAGTGGGTTGCAGATGCCTAACTTAGCCGAGTGCTGTGCTGGAGGCATCAATGGCCAAGTAACTGAGTGAAACAGGCGGGCGTTTTCAGGCAACTGCAAACCGCAACTCACATCATCAAAACAACCTAGTGCAGCCATCGTCACTATGGAACAAACGGTACGCTTGCCGGGAACCGACATTCACCTGCCTAAATTAGGCTTTGGTGTATACCAGCTTAGGAGCCACGACTGTGCAGATGCTTGCCTGGCAGCGTTGAATTGTGGATATAGACAAATCGACTCTGCGCAACTCTATGGCAACGAGGCAGACGTTGGGAGTTCGTTGCAGCAATACCTCAAACAAGCAAAAGCACAACGCGAAGACCTGTTCATAACGACCAAGATCGGTCGTCACGAAGGCTCTGTCGAGAAGACGTACCGCAGCGCATCACGCAGTGTCAGACGCATCGCGGGCGAAGACGGGTACGTCGATCTGTTCCTCGTGCATCGGCCCATTCAGAGACGGGAGGAGGTCTGGGTTGCGCTGGAGAGGCTTCTGGAGGAAGGAAAGACGAGGGCAATCGGGGTCAGCAACTTTCGAGCTGAGCATCTGGAGGAGATGAAGGGCTACGTCAAGGTCTGGCCGCCTGTTGTGAACCAGATTGAGGTGAGTGCTTGACTCACGATCGAAATGCAGAGTCGCTGATGAGGCATCGCATAGATCCATCCTTGGTGCCAACAAAGGGAACTGGTCACGTATTGCCAGAAGAACGGGATCCTTGTTCAGGCGTACAGCCCGTTGGCCAGAGGGCAGAGAATGTCGGATCCGGTTCTGGCACAGGTCGTTGCCCGGGTGCGGCGGCGGGTCTTGGCCGGAGTCACGTCCGACTCCGAGACCGAAAGGGCAAGGGCCGGAGCTGCCGCTACTGACGGTGATGGTACAGGAGGGAGAGCTGTGACTAAGGCGCAGGTGCTTATACGGTGGTCTGTCCAAAAGGGTTTTGTGCCGCTGGTGAAGAGCAGCGACCGGGCAAGGATCGAGGAGAACGCCAATGTCTTTTCCTTTGAGCTTGACGAGGAGGAAATGCAACTCCTCGACGACTTAGACATGGGTGCGCAGGGCGCTCTTTTTCCTGCCAACGTTAGCTAGCGATTGGAAGCGAATCGGAACCCCTGTTCCTGCTTCAAGAACCTGATGCCATTTTACTATGTACACAGAAAGGCATGAAGCTTTCACGGTGCATGACAAACAAACAACAACCCAAGCTCAGTCGCTTGGGGCGTAGGTAGGAAAGCATGACGAAAGTGCCCCACGCAGCGGCCATCAGGCGGGGCTTCCAGCGCGGTGAGAGGCGTTGAGCGAGGAACACGGGCCACTCAGACGCCTGAATGGACGGCGGGAGATCCGCAGCTTCACCTTCACGCCTGGAGGGGCCGGGGGTGCCTGCGAGGTGGGACGGAAGGCGATTGCTGGGTTCACCTGGAAGCTTCTCCTGATCTGACCTCCCCCTTCTCATGTGGGAAAGATCAACAAACACACCAACAAGCCATCCGCCTACTGCGCAGTAGTGAAATTGAGCCGCCTCCCGGCTCTCTGGCAACCTCAAAACCCATACACCGACCAATTTCAGCTTACACGCTATCAATTCTACTCTCGACTGAGCTGTAATGACAACAGTGACAGCAATGAGCTTGCAACGACCCTTGCGCGGCGGTTGCCAGTGCGGGCGCAACCGGTACGTCATCGAGCCTGTTGCTCAACAGACGAGTGAGAGGGTGCAGGTCCTCTTCCACACAGATGCCATACACAGTGAGTCTATCTTCTCCTTTTTTTCTGCCGTCTTTCTGTATTCTTTTCCTGGGCTTGCTTTTCTCGCTTGAGATGTGATGCCCACCAATCTCAAGCTTCGAAGCTAACCACAGCTTGCGCAGGAGTTCCTTTGGCCACCCCACTGGCCGCAATGATCAAAGTGCCGATTTCCTGGTATCACAGCTCAACGCATGCCTTGTTCCCCGACGAGGCGCACTCCGCGATTCGCCGTGTATTCGAGACGCCGTCTAGCAACCCCTCGAAGCGATACTTCTGCGGCTTCTGCGGAACGCCACTGTCCTACTGGACCGAGCTCCCGCATACTGAAGCTGACTACATCCATCTTACATTGGCCAGCTTGTGCAGCGAAGACTTGCGAGATTTGGAAGACCTGGGTTTGATCCCCGAACTCGAGGAGACGGAGAGACAGCCCGTCGTTCCGACAACGACCACGGTAATTGGAAGGGAAACCCGCGGCGTCCCCTGGTTTGAGAGCATGATCGACGGCACCCGTTTGGGCAATCTGCGTCACAGCCAGATGGTGGATCAGAGTAGGGACGGGAAGGTCAGGGTCGAGTGGGAGATTGTGGAATGGACCGATGCGGACGACGGGAAGACGGAGGACGTTGAGATGACGAGCAATACTGGCAACGGCAAGCGCAAACTAGGCGAGCGAGATGATGTGGATGCGGCTTTGGAGAGCCTGCATTAAGTCCATGCCATGTCGTGCATCGCATCGCAGCGGCAGGGTCGGTGGTATCAGCACCAGGGGTGTCGTGGACTGGGCCGGCTCACCTTCGTCCCGCGTTCCGTACACCTCGGTGAGAACTGAGGTTGGTTATTGTGGGAGTTTCTGCTCACCTAGATGCCGATAATGGGCTTAGTGGTGTAGCGGCGATAGGTTCGGATCTGTCGGGGACGAACTAAACAAAACGAATGACTAAAAGTACGATGAGAAGGGAGAAAAGCAGAATCGAAGGGAAGCACGAGGTTCGGAATCTTTGATTATGGAGTCCTGAGGGAAAAGCAGCCGTGGAGGCGACGGCGTATCATGGATTTAGCACATTTAAGGCACAAGAGCAAGATGTTTAATGGCCCCGAGGTTTCCCCCGCCCGACAAGACAAGGTGTAAGTCAGCAACACACATGTACCTGAGTGTAGGGCCGAAGGCTCGCTGGATCGACGAGTGGAACCCGCCAGTCGGCCGGAGCGGGCTACTCGACCGAAGAACAGGAATTGGTTGTACGGCCATGTGATTTTCGCGTATTGATAGCTGCGTGGACCAAGACGATTTAAACTGGAGATTGTAGTTTTGGAGGGGCGGAATTGAACATGCAGGGGACGTCTGCCGTGAGTTTCGTGTTGCAGTCCGCATGGAGTACGTGTTGATCGAAAAGACGATTGGGTTTTGGGTAGGAAGAAATGCGCAGATGTTGATGCCAGGTGTCCTCCGGGTCGTATCTATATTCTAGGTCTATTATGAAGCTGGGGATGTGGTCGACTAACCCCCGCCATGGACAAGACGGAGATGATGGGACGAAAGCCGTTGTTGGAGAAGCACAGGCGACATTGGACGAACGAGCCTGCAGTGGATGGAAGGGAGGCTCACCCGTCTTTGCGCCCTTTCCCGCTCACCGAGGGCGACCAACATCGGCCAGCCAAGGGGGCTCGGCATGCGCTTTGGTGTGGGAAGGTGGTTGAACGAGATATGCCTTGGGCCGGGGCTTGGGCGAGGCAATCAAGAGGCAATCAAACAGCACACAGTAATAAGCGGCCGCTGATGGCTTCGTGGCCCCGAGGATTTGGCGAGGTTCCCGCCAGGCGCATGTCGCCAATGAGGCGGCAAGCGGGATAATCAGGTGAGGGATCGAGGCTTGTCGTGTTTCGAATCGGCTACGAGTCGAAGCTGGGCGAGGAGAGAGGTGGTTGTCGGCTCGACGGGCCGGATTGTCGATATTCTCAGCAGGCTCTCTCAGCGGGGGAGAAGGGACTTCCCCTCAACTGAGGGAAAAGGGACCCCACGGCGGGGTAATTACCTACCTACCCTGGTGAACTGCCCCTGGCCTGGATATTCGTACCGCAGGGCACCTGGTATTTCTGCAGGAGCCCCTGTCGACTGTTGCTACCACCAGCAAACTCCGCTGTGTCGTGGTGAGATAGGTAGGCACGGGTACGGGTAAGTACCTGGAGTTTGCACAGAAAGACACCGCCAACCCGGTCGCACATGGTCATCCGACGCAACCTGGCAACAACGGAACATGAGGCGGGCACGTTAAGGTTCTTCTCGCTGCGGAGGACTAAGGTACCCTTTACAATGTTAGTCGCCTGTTGGCAAATAGAAGCAGGTGCCAGCAACACCAAGGCCTCTGGCGCCAATTGTCTGCCTTGTTTGCATTAGCGCTGGAGAATAGCAGAAGACTAGAAGTAGGTCTTCTTCAGCATGTACATGGTTGTGTACGTCTCTCTCTCATCCCACCACCACCAGCAGCACCACTTCCGGACATGGACCAGTCTTCGTTTCTCGGTGACGACGGTCCGACGCGGTAGAATTTCTGGAGCTTCCCGGGTCCCAGATTGACTATTGACTGCATGGAGGGCGCTCCACGAGACGCCCTTGTAGGCTTGTCCCATGTCTGCTGTTTCTGCTACCCTTTCCTGCCGGTGTTTGTCCCATCTTTGCCATCCTTGTAGCTCCGTGTCGACATGACCTCGCCTTACCTTAACCTGCCAGGTATCCCCATCAGACGAATAATGATTCCCAATTCATTCCACCGCAACCTCTCCTTCCGTCCTTCTGATGCGTATAAGTATCGTGGCAGCTGCTGGTCCTCTGTCTGCATTTGTCCACCCTCCTCGCTCTCTCTTCTCTCCCTGTCAACATATCCTCTTCGACCCCCTGTCTAGTCGTTCCAATTCGCCCAGCTTTGCAGAGTGGCTGATAGCTGCTGTCCGGACAAATCACAGACGTTGCGTACTCGGGCTCTCGTGAGAGTCTCCGCTGGTTGCAACACGCTTTCGAGACTTTTACCAACAACTTTGGCCTCAGACTCATAGCCCAACATGTCTTTGCCGAGCGACTTCCTTTGGGGTTTTGCCACCGCTTCGTACGTATTTCACCTCAACATGCTGCATTTCGCTTTCCTTGTCGGTCCATCATCGTGCCTCAGTTGCTGTCACAATGCAGTTTTGCGTCTGCCTCCGGCCCGTGGCCCGATTCGGACAGCTAGCAAGCATCCTCCCACCAACCACGCACCACCACCCTCCGCCCTCCTCCCTCCGTCTTACCCGCCTGCAATTCCGCACACTGATTTCTCTCCTCACCCCACACTCACACCTTCTTCCTCCGTCCCTCCTTGTCGTCTAATAAGCGAGTCCAACAACATGCCATGCCGAATCCCTACTAACGCGTTTTGCCCACCATCACAGATACCAGGTTGAAGGTGCCGTCGAGAAGGACGGCCGTGGTCCCTCCATCTGGGACACCTTCTGCAAAATCCCCGGCAAGATTGCCGACGGTAGCTCCGGAGTCACTGCCTGCGATTCCTACAACCGTACCGCCGAAGACATTGCTCTGCTCAAGTCCGTTGGTGCCAACACCTACCGCTTCTCCATCGGCTGGTCCAGAATCATTCCCCTTGGTGGCCGCAACGACCCCATCAACCAGGCCGGCATCGACCACTACGTCAAGTTTGTCGACGACCTTCTGGATGCTGGCATCACGCCCTTCATCACCCTGTTCCACTGGGATCTTCCCGATGGACTCGACAAGCGCTATGGCGGTCTTCTGAACAAGGAAGAGTTCCCTCTTGACTACGAGCACTACGCTCGTGTCATGTTCAAGGCCATCCCCAAGTGCAAGAACTGGATCACCTTCAACGAGCCCTGGTGCTCCTCCATCCTCGGCTACAGCAGCGGCTTCTTCGCCCCCGGCCACACCTCGGACCGCAACAAGTCCCCCGTCGGAGACTCCTCGCGCGAGCCCTGGATCGTTGGTCACAACTGCATTCTCGCCCATGCCCGTGCTGTCAAGGTGTACCGCGAGGAAATCAAGCCTACCCAAGGCGGACAGATCGGCATTACCCTAAACGGCGATGCCACCTACCCGTGGGACCCCGAGGACCCGGCTGACGTTGAGGCTTCCGACCGCAAGATCGAGTTCGCCATCTCCTGGTTCGCCGACCCCATTTACTTCGGCAAGTACCCCGACTCCATGCGCAAGCAGCTTGGCGACCGCCTACCCGAGTTTACCCCTGAGGAGGTCGAGCTGGTCAAGGGCTCCAACGACTTCTACGGCATGAACCACTACACGGCCAACTTCATCAAGCACAAGACCGGCGAGC